AAAAAAAAAAAAAAAAAGATGCAGCAGTCTCCTTAGATTGTCTTTTAGTACAACTGAATGCTTAACAATTCGGTTAAGGGTGACCAAAACATTACAATTAACTTTCATGAACTGAAAAAAAAAGGGTCAAACCTCTCAAACGAAAACACTAGCAACAACCAAAAATAAGTTCATAGCTATTTAAATGTGTACAGTGCTTTGGATGTGCATATCTATGCCTCTATCCTGACTGACAGGTAGCTGTGATGGTAACCTGTCAATCACAAAGTAGCCACGCCCAAAAGCATACCCTGCTTTATTGTCTACTTGATTCTAAATGGGACCATACCATCATGCTGTTTTGGAGAAGACTTGAAACTAGTGATTACGACCAGAAACTCACCAGCAAAATGTAAACTGTGGTAATAAATCAAGTATAAAGTAGGGTCATTTCCTCATTGACTTATTTGCCTCAATCTTTTAGCACAAAATCATCTCAAGACATGTATACCTGCAGTCACATTCTGTTTGACGCCTACATGACATGCCCCTACAAACCACGCCCACAGGCAGCAAACCCACCAACATGGCAGCCATTTGAAACCTGCAATGGGAATTACTGAATAAATATGAGGCCCAATGTCGCAATAATCCACCTTATTCATTTACTTCATTCATCATACATGAAGATGTGACTCACCATATAAGTAGCAAGATATAACCCTTAACCCTAACGTTAACCGCCTCTCTTTTAACCTGATACTGCTAAATGTATCTTGCTGTAGCATTTTCTTGAGGGCTTATGCTTCAGGACCAAGCAGCAGGAGCTGATTGTGGAATGATGGTGGGTGAGTCATGTAACTGGTGGGCGGGTCACGTAGCTGCAACAGTGGCAGCTATACCTCCTACTCGACTCCCACAGCTAATATTAGCTCAATTAGCTCGCTACAGCTTATTTGATCTATAACAAAGTCCACAGTTGAGTAGATACAATGATTCTGCTTGTGTCTACCTCATGGATCAAGGAAATGAAGGATCCATTGTTTCACTCCCTAATTATCAAAGGGGGCTCAAACATTATTCTTTATGTGTGACTGCTCTACAGGAGTGTTTGACAGAGAAAGGCCAACAGTCTGTCAGACAAACAGGACATGGTTACTTGCAGCTCACCTTGTTCCCTATGGCTTTCTTGGGTGGAAAGTTGAAGGCGTCCACCTGTGGAAACTGGGTCCTCAGGTGGTTGTGGAGCTCCCTGAACTCGGTGTAGCGCCTGTACACATTCCACTCATTGTCCAGGATACGGATGTACACCTGAGCACAGATAAGAGACAACATCATCATCATCACATTCATCATCAGCGGTAGCTTGCCCTCAAATCATTAATACATTGTAATACTGTAAAGAGAAACTGAAACGTCCGATGAGAAACTAACTAAACCAGAACTAAGTTATCACATATTTCGCAAAAATAAAGAAAAAACACAAACAGCAGGTTGTTGTATAATAATAGCCTTTCGTATTTTTTTGCAGTTCACGTTTGTCATTAAGCTCTTACGTTGCCATACAATAAATTGATGAGATGGGTGAAAGAACGACTTCCTCTCATCCTTGTAAATGGGTATTTTCACTTACATACTGCAACACATAACAGAGAAAGAATCTGTCTATAGGCGTGACTGTGGTGCCACCATTTCCATGCACCATTAGCTGCTTTATTCAGACTCACGAAAGATAGAGGGAGCAGAGAGGGAAAAGGAGAGATGAGCCTATTACAAGAAAGAGAGGGAGGGATGAGAGCTAGAGATGGGTTTCCATTTTCACAGCAGAAAACAGGGAATACACAGAGACAAAAGAGAGGGAGCAGAACGACTTTTGAGAATTCAATTTCAAAAATGGCCAACAACAAAAAATACAGACTCGATTCAGGTACATGAAAACAGAAATTGATTTAAGGATCGACCAAATGTACCTAGGCATAGCTGCCCCCCGCCAGGCAAATCAAAAAATAAAGTAAATAAAAGCCGAGAACTTCAAAACTGTTTTATAATGTTGGACTGCATGTTCCCTTCCTCCTGCTCCATTATCATTAGGTGAGAACATGGATTTTTAGAGGTCGTTTTTTTATCTTAAGACGACTGACTTCAACAACAACAAACCCTGAGCAGAAACATTCAACTTCACAGTGTTAGTTATCTTTAACATTACTTTTCGTTTCTCAAACCTTAATTTAGGCTTTTCAGAATAAGCCGACTGAGCATACAAGCTATTTGTTCCCACAGCAGTGCCCAGTTCAGCCCCTGAGCTGCTCAACAGAGGTGAGACAGTACACAAGGTTTGAACTTTTCTATCAAGCTACAAACAAGTGCAACACTATAAATGCCTTTCGGGAGAGACTGTCTAAAGCTCTGTGGTGTTGCTGATTTGATTTTATTATTGTGTCATGCATACATAACACGCCCAGCCCAAACAGGCTTACAAGACACCATTAAGAGAGACTAATTATCACAACAATTATCAGATCTATGCTACATTTTGAGCCGATTCATTCAGTCGACATTGAGCTATATCACTGGGTAAGTAAAAACTCTGACACACTAGTGGTGCTACAAGAAAACTTTGGTATTTTTCAACCTGGACTGAATATATTCTCATGTTTTTGTCCCTAAGGGTGCTTTGACACCTAACCTGCTTGGTTTGGTTATAATGAACTCAGGTCAGTTTGCGTGGTTAGTATGGTTCGTTATGTCTGGTGTGAAAGCTGGCAATCAAACCCTGCAGTGGACTTAACAACCGAACTGAGACTGCTCAAAAAGGTGGGTCTCATTCCGTTTCTGAACGGACTCTGGTGCAGTTCATTAGTAGGGTGAAAGAAAACAAACCAACCAAAGGAATTTATGATGGCAGATGTGATTTTAGCAACAGCTACACCAATATTCAATTTATTTGCTGATTGTGAAATCTGTCTACGATCTCATAAGACATATGCACATCGGAGAGGGTATTTTCCCTGATTAAAAAGTTGTTACAACTGCCATGATTATACCTGACTCCACGTACTTTGTCACAGTTAAGCCCCGAGTCATGACTGTACAAGAGGCCTTCTTTTTATCCTGTCTCTATCTTTGTCATTATTCATAACATGAGATCGATTTGCAGTCTAGAAACAGCCTCCTTATAATGCTTATAATTAGTTATTTCTCTTTGAGCTCTTTGTCACACCAAATAACAAAAATATAAACATGCATCAAAGTCCTGGTGCATTAACAATTGTCAGTCACTAGACTTAGATGTCCCCATGTGGGTCCTGAGGATGCACCAACGATGCAGGATGACAAATGCCAAAACTGTCCAATCAACAAGTTACTTGTCAGCCAGTAGAACGTCATGGTTTTTCCCCCTGGTCGGACCAGGTGTACTGAACTACAGGTGTAAAATTAAAACCGTTCCAGTATAGAGTAAGAGCCCTGCAGCTGGCTGTTGCAAAATGGGTTGCAATGTAAGCCCTCAAGGCAATCGCTCACTGTCAATGTGCGTCCACTAAAAGTGTTTGTTTTTGCCACTCGCAGGCTCAAATTATAACAGGTGTCTGTCAACTTTATGGAAAGGACCCTACACTGAAATAAAAAGTTGTCTTTACCCTTTACCTGGTCTGTTTGTTATTGTGTCCAACTAAAAAGAAAAACTCTTTCTGAAGTCTCGCAAATTGAGTTGTTGCAGGAAGACATTAACAAACAGACCGAATAAAGCAAAAGGTTTCAGACTCTGATGAAGTGTCTGACAATATTATGGAAAGGTCCTGCAGAGAAATAAAACGTTTTTCTTTTTACCTTTCACCTGATCCGGTCTGTTTGTTAATGACTTTCTGCAACAACTCAACTCTTCTCTTTTGAGCCAGACACAACAACAAACAGACCGGACTGAAGGTAAAGACAACATTTTATTTCTTGTAGGGTCCTTTCCATAATGTTGTCAGACATGTATAATAACAATATGAGCCTGTCAGTGGCAAAAACAAGCACTTTTCGTGGATGTACACTGACTGTGCGCGATTGCCCCAAAGAATTACATTGCAGGCCATTTTGCAACTGCCAGCTGCACTGCTCTCACTCCGCACTGGACCAAGTTCAAAAGCTGTTGTTCCCATCAGTCACTAAGCCACAAAAACATGAAAAACTATGGTCTAGGTTAAAAAAAATACAAGTTTCCCTTTAAATCCTTAGAATTTATCCTCTTGGGATCAGGAATATCTGCACAAAATTTCTTGACAATCCATCATATAGTTTCCATTCACAGATCTGAGCTGCTAGCATGGTTAAAAAAAGAAGTTACCATTCTACACATGCTGATTGGTATGACATGAATAAAGACATTTGGGGCTGTGACTGTCATTATTTGGATTTGACACTTGTGAAAAGACATGTAATGTCATAGAATGCCCTGTTCAGAGGTGTAACAACAAACTGTCAGAGCTTCAGTACAGGAACTCTTACTACATTTTGTCTTCATGTCAACCTCAAAGACATTTTGACGGACACCGGAACAAGGAGATGACAGTTTTTTGTTTTTTGGGGGGGTTGCTGTGAGGTGACTGTTCTTTTACTGAGTGATCTTTTGTCAGCAGGCATGCTACTGTGCAGTCTAGGTTACATGCCAAACACAAAAAATGTGACATTTTGGACAGCCATTAAGAGAAAAAATGACAGCTGAAGCTTTGTTAGCCGTCCTAAATGCCTCGCTGACAGACACGTCTAGACATCGTTAATGTCATAAAAAGATATCAGAAAATGACGCTTTACAGTGTAGTTAAATAAAATGATCTAAAAGCATGTGCCATTATTTAAATGGACATGTGCTGAGTGAGTGAGAGGCGAGAGAAAATGTTTTTATCTATGCTTGCTTCTTTATGTCTTTATCAATTGATGCTCACTTTATCCACAGCACAATTACTGAATAGTATGCTTATGGGTAAGAGATTTTTAACAGTGGAATAAACACATATATCCTGAATGAAAAACACTCTCTGACGTAAAGCAATAATTGCCCTCAGGGTCACACTTCAAAAATCCCATATATATATTAACTTGCTGTATAAGGAGCAGCTACTGCATTAAAGGAAAGACTCGAATCCGGTGAATGACAGTGGTGGTTGACGAGATGGGAGCAGACAAGGCCGCTAATGGACAGGAGACTTGTCACATCAGCGTTTCTGTTTGACCTACAGAAACACATCTAAGTTTTTACCAACTTCTTTTTTGCAAGTTAAGAGATGGACTCTGTGTGGTCTGGTTGTGTGTGTGTGTGTGTGTGTGTGTGTGTTAGTTATGCCCTCATATAGCTTCCTTTATAGCTGGCTAAACTGGGTCATAGTGAATTCCTCATTCAGGTTTAAACTGAAGTATCTGGTTTTATTTCGGAGTTCTCTGTGTGACTACATTTAAAAAGCAAGTAACATTTTGGCATTTCAAGGCTTTAGCAGATAACAAAATTGTGAGGAAAAACAATTATTGTACAGTGTTCACAGGTAGATAGTTTTTTCAAATATCGTCTAAATTAATATTTCATAATTCACAACTTTTAGTCTGGACTTGTCACAAGTTTTAAGTGAAAAAATAATCACTGTGACATTTCCGTCACCTTAATAAGCTCATTTAAAGAAATGTCCACACATCCACTCCATCACTGTAAAAACATGCCACGTCAAAGTCAAGGCAACGTAAAGCAATTACTGTAGCATTAGGGTGGAGGGCTAGACATTTCCTATTACATTCAATCATGTGCTATTTTTCAACTGAGAAAAGCGGGTTGGTGCTTTTAAGAATTCCATATGGTCGGCTGAAATACCCTGCTGAACATAAAGCCCTGACAGGCATGACAAATAAGTAGCTTTCCAAACAAATTAATGCAAACAAATCTAATTTCACTTCTAATATCGGAGACAATCCAGTACGCAGACCTACAGTGGTGAAAAGCAAATAAGTACATCTACTCAAGTAGTTTCAAGGTACTTTTACTTTACCTGAGTATGCTACTTTATCTCTCTACTCGACACAATTTTAGGGGGAAATATTGTACTTTTTACTCCACTACATTTGTCTGATAGCTATAGCGATAGCTATATAGTAATTTATTAGGGCTATACAATATATCTTTTTTGTTTTAAGCATCATTGTGATGTCAACTTGTGTGATAAACGCATCAGGAAAGACTGTGATGTTGTACTTTAGATATAATTAACTAATAACTTCTACATTACATTCTGTCTGTTACGCTGTTTTAAAACTTTAGCGGCGTTGAAGCAAGGGATTAACTC